AACAGGTCCTAGAACTTCCCTAGAAGGCCAGTATAGTGAAGAATGCATTGTGCCTCAAAGGTCGTACTAACACCAACACCCACTGCCGCCCCCTCTTTCTTCCTTCACGGTGCGGGTTGGCATGCATATTCAAAGCATGCGTGCACGCAGACAGAAAGTTCACTATGTCCGATGTCGGCAACTTAGGTGTGGCCACAGCTAGTCAAGAACCGGAAGCCATGTGCTGTTTGTGATGCCAGAATTCAGTGCTAATTCCATGATCTTCCACAGGACTTTGCGAGCAATCACGGACCTGCTTGTTCATGGGACATTTCCTTGAATCAAGGAAGCAAGGAGATGTGCGAAATGTGCCATGTACTTGTGCGAACCTCTCATTATGCGCATTCTTCCAGGCGAATGCGCAAGTGCATAATCATCCCATGAGTCGTGCTTCTGGAGGATAGCAACGAGAGTACGACGAAGAACATTCCAAAAGACTCGAAACACACCTGACTCCCATGGCAATGTTTCCACTCCATGCAGCAAGTTGGTAGAGATGACTGGACTAAACCTTAGAACGCGCATAGGGCGCAACCCGCATTGCTTTGCAACACGGGCCGACCTGTACGTATAGACAAACCAAGGGGCGACTTCAGCAGCAGACTCGTGCAGACTGTGCAAAACCGACGCCGCGTTGTCATCGCCTCTTCCATCTCTGCTTCGTCCTCCTCTACCTCAGGCTGCTCCTGCTCTTCTGCTTCTTCTTTTTCCTGCAGCACGTCATCGCATTGCTCTCATGGCCCCACCGAACATGAAACAGGTCCTAGAACTTCCCTAGAAGGCCAATATAGAGAAGAATGCATTGTGCCTCAAAGGTCATACTAACACCAACACCCACCGCCTCCCCCTCCTTCCTTCACGACGGATCTGGTTGGCGTGCACTTTCAAAGCATGCGTGCTCTAGTCTAAGGCCTAAGGCTTACATACTTACATGGTCTACAAGTACGTCTCACTTTATCTTCGGCTCATCGGGGTAAGCACACTCTCCAGGAACGTGACGGAACTCATGACCGCAGCATGGATCTCTAGCCCGAAATCTTCTAGCGGTCTTTGCAAGCAATCATGGATCTGCTTGCTGATGGGACGATTTGTGGACGAAGAGGACCATGAAGATGTGCGATGTACTTGTGCGACCCCATCATCGCGCGCATTCCCGAAAGGCACCCCGACCACCAATGACACTGCTTCAAGGTTCGCGGTTCATTGCGGCCGAACCCCATTGAGGTGCAACGCGGGGCGACTTCAGCAGCTTACTCGTGCAGACTACACAAAACCGATGCCATGGCTGCCATCGCCTCTTCCATCTCTGCTTCTTCCTCCTCTACCTCAACATCCTGTTCTGCTTGTTCTCTGGCCTGCAACATTGCATTGCCACGGACATCAAAGGGTCCTAGAAGTTCCTAGAAGGCCAATTTGTGCCAGGATGTTGTGCCAACGCCCTCCGTTCATGACGGTGCCTGTTCGTCATGCATGTTGAAACATGTTTGCACAACATGGGGCACATCCACTCGTGCATTCAAGGGCCCTTGCGTATCATGCTTTTGAGGTGAACTGTTTCGGACCCTCGTCCTCAGTAGCACAACCTCAAGCTCGAACCCGAGACCCGCATGGAATCGTGCGGACCTCATCGGGCATTTCACTGGGCTGACCCTCGGCAATGGGGGCGATAGGGCCTGCTTCGGCCTGGGAGGCGGTTCTAAGGGTTTGGTGTTCAAGGCCTGGTGCTTGAGGCTACTTCAGGCATTTCAGGAGCCCGGCAAAAATGAAACAAACCCGCACGTTTCCAAACGCAAACATATGACGTCCTGAAGGGAAGGCTGAGAATCGACGAGGGATTGAATATTGGATTTGGACGATTGGCAATAGCACTGCGGAGATGATGGTAGGAGACTTTGAGTAAAGACTTTGAGGTTTGGGCGGGAGCCCACCAATCCCCCCTCCCTCAACATCCCGCCTTAATGACTCAGACTCGGTGTTGTAGGTACATCATCGCATGTATGTAGGGTCTCACAGGGAATGCCTTCAAAACGAGGTTGGTAGTAGAAAATTCTATACAGTTAATGTTAGGGAAACGTGAGGAAGAGCGGAGTCGCCCGAAACCCCCTTTATGGATGCTAAACTGGAAAAGAACACGCGTAAATCCCGGAGCACCGAATCCCGAAACTCTAGGGCTCTTGTTTCGGCTCATACTTGAAGTTGCCATCATCGAAATACATATGTATGCTTCGTTTATTTTAGAAAAGGCTCCTTTCCCTCGCAGAACTTTTTCCGTAGTGTAAGTTGATTAAACTTCAAAGTTCAGTGTAACCAGTATGGTAACCTCAACTGCGTTTCAACTCCCTGTCAATTCCGGCCTGCGACTTCGCCTTCTCCGTGTCCTCCCCTATCGCCCGTCCTTTGCCGAGGAGGAGAGTGTAGGGATTGAAATTGGTAGAGGTCTAGTAACTAGTGATTGCTACAGATTGGGTCTAGCGACTGTTCGTTTGGTATGGGCTTGTAGGAGCTTTCATGTTGACGGCTTAAAGGATGTTGCCATAGGATTTCGGATCCAGGAATCTGTTGCACCTCCTTCGACTCTTCGGACCTTGCCTGGGTAAGCTCTGCATAGAAAGGCCTTTGTCAAGTGGCCCTTAGTTAGATCAGGGCTGTAGTGACTCTACGCGAAATGGAGCCTTATCAGCACTGGTACCAAAAGAAGCATGTGACACATTGACATAATTCCACGGATCCTTCAAAAGGCAGGTTATCGTAGCATAAGGCTTGGTTGGTTTGAAGTCGGGCTGTGGGCTGAGAGATGCAAGCAGCATGCGGCTTCCAGGAAATCGTTCTACGGCCACCGCAAACAAACTTAGACCCCGAAACCCCATACCCGGCGTCCTTCACTGATGGCAGGCGCATTTGCCAGCATGCTCTTCTCTTCCTTTTGCAGTGCCTAGACAGAAGCCGCTGACAAAGGGTTCATGGGTTGGTGTTTGTCCGTGCTTGTTCTAGAAAAAGGTCACGGGTACATGATTTCGGGGCAGGCACTCGCGGATTGACGGGTTCATGTTCGCCCGCGCTTTTCTCAAAGTAGGTAAACGTTGGCAGGTTCTCCCCCCAATTCGAAACCCCAAAGCAGCATGACCACTTCGGTGGAGGGAGTTGAGGGGTTCACTGGATCGTGGTCATAGATGAGCCGCATGTTTACCATATCGGTGCAGGGAGTGTGCTGTTCGCCCACACTTTTCCTAATTGGCTCACTATTCCGTTGGAGGGAGTTTAGGGCTAGGGTTCAGGGGTCCGTGGTCGTCCGCATTTTTCCGACTGCGTTCTCCATTTCGGTGGGAGTTGTGGGTTCACGGGCACGGGTTTCATTTCGGTTTCAGCGAGCAGTTGAGGGTTCGCGGGTTCCTCCTAGCAAAAAGTCCCAAGTTCTCACGAGAGGGCGTTCCAAAGCACTGTTCCAGTTTATCCTAGGTACGTATGAAGTGTGAACTTTTCTCCACGGCTTCTCGGCTCGTGCCCCCATGACTCTGTTGCTTAGGGCTTCGCGTACGGGGCCTCAATGACCGCAACATGAGCAAGACCAGCGCCGTCTCCGACCGCATCCTGCAATTGAGCGGTGCCGACACGGCGGCATAAATGTCGACTTGGCAAATCTTTGGGCAGTGGAAGCTGAATGCTGTTTGCCGGGAAGAACCTCCTGCATTTCGTCTTGCACAAACGACAAGAGGAGCACTTGGTCTTTGTTGTTGCTCTGCCAGTCGGCATTCTAAGTGCTCGACCGATTTCATGCGATCACAAGAGCCCCCAAATCAGAACCTGAAGCCCTAAGCAGCCCCAGACCTTCTACAAGTAGTCAGTTTATCATCCCTGTGAGAAGCATGCTGCAAAGGAGCTTTCTTTTCGGTGCTTGGGGTCTTATAGTCTATTTTGTCGAGGGTTCAGGGCTTGGGTTTCGGGAGGGCAAACAACAGCCGCTCTGGCCTTCATGGAGAGATGGAAGTGGATCTGGCTTTTCACAGCTTCGTCTAGCTCCGTCTGTGTAGACGCATGCTCCCATATTTCCAGCATGATACCAAGGAAGTTGTCCTTCAGAGCCTTGTCGACATCGAAGAACGTCCCAAGAAGGGTGGCTTTCCATGGTGCGAATCCAATATCCAGGACAACCATGGACCGATCGAAAAGCTTCACCAGTTCGTCGACCCCTGCTGCTTTGCAAAGAGCTTCCGCACTGGCTTCGAGCACCTCCAGGCACGGTTCCCCTATTTCGACAGTGAGGAAAGGATGCGGGCGATTCAAGGCCCAGGGCCTGCGGTATGGAAACCTCGCAGGATACCAAACGCTGCTCGAACATCACCTGCCAGGATCAAATCCAGCTAGCAGCTTCATCTGTCTGAGTCTTCCAGGATTCGGAGAGCTGCTTAACATTGACTTCCAATGCGCTGACCTTTCGTATCACACTGTCGTTGGTCTACAATCTACAAAGCAAAGGCACGGTTTTCAAGTTTCGGATTACGGGCTCCAGAAAGCGTAAGGGACCTGTGTGCGCGTGGCTGTAGAAACGGGAACTGGCGTCCGCAATTTAAAGTCATCTCTCCTGGGGCGGTGCGAGTTCGCAGCAGTGTTTTCGCATGAGCTTCTCTTTGGGCATGGAGTGAGATCCAAGTGTGCTCGTGGCGTGAGAACGCAGCAGTCTGTTTGCATGCACATGACTCTTTGCGCAGGTCCATGCAAGTGCGCTCGCGGCGCGAGAACGCACGGAGAGATCGAAATCCAAGTGTATTCGCGCAAGAACACTCGGCAGTTTCGATGATTCTAGCTATAATATACATGTCCATATGTGTCGCGCGCAGACATATTCACATGTCCTTGCGCACGGATAATGATGTGTGTGTATGATGTATGTGTGTGTGTGAGTGTGTGTCTGTCTGTTTGTCACTGTCACTGTCTGTCAGTGTCTGTCAGTGTCTCAGTGTCTGTCTGTCTGTGTGTCTGTGTGTCTGTCTGTCTGTCTGTCTGTCTGTCTGTCTGTCTGTCTGTCTGTCTGTCTGTCTGTCTGCGCTGCCGCAGCAGACGGAGCCACATGCCTGTGCACGCGGAGAGAGATCGGAGTGTGCATCGCTGCGGAAGTTGCATGTGCAACTTCTGTTGAACTGCGAAAACAGCATGCAGTCTATCACGGAGGAAGATGAGGGCAATGTCTCCGACTCGTTGGTGGGTACACTGTGTGCATAAACATGTTTTTCGCGCGCACAAGTCGAGACGCGGTTAATGCATGTGCTTGTGAAAAGCGCGCCAGTTGTGGTGTGAGCCGTATGTGAGCCGTATGTGTGTGTGTGTGAGAGAGAGCGAGTGAGTGACGGAGGCGGTTGTACCATGCGTCGAGGACGCCAGGAGGGCGACTGCGACGCAGAACACGAAAATATTTAAGCACCTACCCCTTCCATAGCCGTGCGTGCCGTGCGTCGCGAACGCAAGGATTTTGAACGCAAAAGTCCAGGAACATAACTTTGCACACTGGTGGGATTCCACGTGTGTTCGCACAGCGAGCGGTTTCCCTAATTTGGCCTTTGCAGAATACCCTCGTACTTGCGCATGCATGAAGTGCGTCGCCGCTGATGCGAGGATTCCACGGGTGCTCACGTAGCAAGCAGTTTGCACTTGGGGTGTTACGGTGTAGGTCTTACGGCTGTCAGGTTTCGGGCTTGGACCACGCTAACCCCAAGCCCGGCACGAAATCCTTGATTCAGGGCTCCAGACCCAACAACATTGGCCTGAACCCCAGCAACCATGTAGTTAAACCAAGTCTTAACAGCGCGCAGGACGGCTACAAAATTGCCACGCCATTTCGGCATTAGAGCGGCTTTTCTTTCTAAGGCCCCACTTATGCCACTGCCATAGGACCAATTGTGTGCTGTTCCTTCGCTTCTGGGGTCGTGATATCCATGTTCATTTTTTGGAAAATTTTAGACTCTTGAGTGATGCGGCCGTATCGTTTTAAGTGTGCTGCAACAACTCATAGCTGATTCGCGGTGGCTCCCCAGAACCTGGAGCCTGCTGGCCGATGCTCGGCGGAGCCACCCTCACGAACTCCGGTTTAGGATTCAGCTACTAGTAGGTCGAACTTCGACCCTGAGACTGGACACAAACAGTACGTCGAAGCGGTAGCCTGATGCCTTTGAGCCAAGTCAATGCGAAGCTTCGGAAATCCGTCTTGTGTCTTCCGGTTTGGCCAGGCTTTTCCACATGCATCCCCAAAGCCTGTTGAACTGCGCAGGCCATGGCCCAATCACTGCCAGGTACCAATTTAAAGTTGGAAGGCAATGGGGCAGCGGGCTGGGAGTAGGCCCTGGCAAAGAATTACAGGCACTGAGGTGTTGTTGGTTTTTGAGTTGGTCGCTGAAATTCGGACCTCTTGCCTGCACGGGAGCTTGACGGCCCGCCGGGGCAGCGGCACCCTGATACGAGACATGAGGGATCTCATGTCACACAATGCTGTAACTGAAGAAGCCAAAAGCCAGAGAGAGAGAGAGAGAGAGAGAGAGAGAGAGAGAGAGAGAGAGAGAGAGAGATAGAGAGAGAGCGAGAGCGAGAGAGGTGACTTCTTAGATCATTGGCCCGAGTCCAAGCTCGGCCTCTGCTGGGGCTTGGCTTGACTGGCTTGACTCCTGGCGGTCCAGAGGTCTCGATGAGGTCTCTGCAGTGTCAGAAAAATGCTATCCGACCTCTTCGGAGTCATATCGTGCAGGAACAAGCCTGTGCAGGGAAACAGAGCGCCTGGCGGTTCATCCAGCACTCCCACTTCTGTGACAACATATGCCCTTCCTCGGCTGTGGTGCCATGCTGCGGCAGGCCCCGATAGAAGCAGCTTGAGAGTCAAACATCAGGGGCATTCATCCAGTGAATCCTTAATGCCGTAGTGTGCACGGAACCTTTGTGCAGCGAATCACTGTCGCTTTCGAGTCTGCCTTCCCCTCGAACAGCGTAGAATGCAGACGCGATTTTGCGAAGCAGACCGGTTCACCTCTCAATGCAAGCGCCAGGAAAGCAGCACATCAACATGTCCGCATGTCGCCACAGGACAGCATAACAACATAAGGGGACTTCAAGGCAGCAAGGGATCATGGGAAGCTCTGCGTTGTACATCTTGTTTCGAATCACAACTACCGCCACGGCTCGACATGCCGCGCTTAGATTAAAGCAGCTGCGACCCCAAGCCGCGAAGCTATGCCTAGATGTGAGACGTTGCTTTAAACTCGCCATCGAATTCGCTGTCGATGCCAGCGTTCTGCATTCAGCTGATTTCACCGAAGCTCAGGTGCCTCCGCCAAAAACGAATGATGTTGGAAGTCCACTGGAGAAGGCAGTCACATACTGAATCATTGCAGCCACCCAAGCAAATTAGATGGAGTCGTTCATGCAAAACCTAACTGCTTCCAGTGAGTCACCTTCTGATCTGAAGTGTGACACACCTTCTGCTGTGCTTTGAGAGGGGCAAGACGTGTCTCTTAAGCCAAATGGAACTTAAAGGATCGCAAGTTCTGACCCGAAAGCGTCTCGAAGAAGCACCAGATCATCGGCTCTCGAGCAGAGTCTTGTCTCCATTGTGAAAACCCAAACACCGAACACCCCATTCAGTAGCATTCACTGGCGCACTGGTGTTCTGGAGCGCCGTGATCTCCGGCTGTCCCGATCCAAGCCTGGTACCAGAGCAAAGGCCTAGAGGCCTAGAGAGTCAGAGATGCCAGGGCGCGCTCCAGGCCTTGCATCCTAGAAGAGAATTGCTTCTGTGCTCGGAGGGCTGCTTGATATGCACGTGTGTTCTCCGAGTTGTACCTGTGCACGTGGCAGACGTCAGATTTCGTTCCTTTTCACAAACTTCAACCTTTAAACAGTATGAGCGAGAGCGAACCGAAAAAAAGCTCAGATCTTTCTTGTGAAGCGAAACAAATGGAACGATGAACCAAGAGAAATGTGTGTTCGTGCATTGTCAAGAATCTGGGTCTTTTTCCCTTCTCCCTTCACGTTCGTGCTTCCTTTCGCTCATTCCTCCCGCTTATTACATTATAAAGCTCAGGGAACGTGGTAGTGAGTGCATCCTTTGACTTAAAAATGCAAGTGAGGCGTGTGAACACGTGTTTCTACAGTGAGCCGTGTGAACACGTGTTTCTACAGGAAAGAAGCACGAACTAAGTAACTAGAGACCGAAACCGGGAACAACAAGATGATTAATAATCAGTGCTCCAAGTGCGGCGATGTGCGGGGTGATTTCTTGTGTTGTCCGCTGAATATTGAATGAAGAGCATAAGGAACGCACCGCTCTTTCATTTTTTTCGAAGAAACACAGAAGAAACAAGCCACAGCACAACATCAAGACCGGAGACCGAGATCTACTGTCAAACGACTCACATGCAAGGAGTGCACGAAAGCACCAGGATGGAATCCCCAGCAGACCTAGAGCCAATGGTTAGTAGGTAGTCTATCACCTATACCTGTGTATCCTAAAGCAGCTCCGACAGCTTCAACACGGCGCACTTGAAGGCATTCGCCCACACCATGTTCACGTCGTTGACAAACTTGCCAAGATCGTTGTACCTGTCTGAGCCCAGAGTGAATCCTCACAGGGCGAGTCACAATGTCTGTCTCTGCCTCGCCTATTGGCATCCAAGTTGGACATCACGCTGCTCAAATCCATCGGCTGGTTCGGCTTGATCTTGTCCAGATAATCTGGATACCTGTGTGCAGGTTTGTAGTTCTCTGCTTTGTGCCCCACGGGCCGCTCGGTCTGAATCCGTTGGCGCCACAGTGGCAAGCTGCAAGAGACCTGCTCCTTTTTTTTAAATGTTTGCTGTACAATTGAAACATTCATCTCCTTTGCGCGATTGCCGCTTCGGGGCCAAGCACGGCTCCCTGCAGTCTTGTGGACATCCTACGCAATTGAATCAACAAGCCACAATCGCGAGGACAGACCTGAGGCATGTAAAAGGCTTCTGCCCTCCTCATCACGAGTGCTTTTATCACCACATGGATGGTGAGGGCGAGGGCAGCCTATGTCTCGCCGGGCCAGTCTCATGCAAATGCACATGCAAACGCCTGGTCTCTGGACTGCTGGGCGAAGTGCTGCACGGCACAAACAAATTCATTAATTGAAAATATACCAATGCTCTAAA